GCAGGCGAGGGGTTAAGTTTGACAGTGTCAACATTACACGCGTTTTAACCCTGCGCCTGATATGGACACGCTTCTTATTTATTTGAACTTGTTGAACTCATGAAAATATTTTAAATTCAATCATTATCTTAATATTTTCCTTTTCCTTTCAATCAGGCTGATGTTGTTGCTTTTCCTTTGAGACACCATTGACTCTGAATGTCTCGGAGTTGCAGGTTCATCAGCAGCCTTTAATAGTCCACTGCTGAACATAGGCCTGTCCTTAGAAAGGAGGTTTTAGAAAACTATACCACGCTGGCCAGACAGGTTGGTAAAGGGTTTGTGTCAAGTTTTCCTTTTCTTTGCAGTGCTGTTGTCCTGCGTCGTTTGCTCCCTAAGTCGGCTCTTACGACACCCACAGGACGACACGGATAAGTTTCAGGTACCTTCATGCAATTTCGTAATTTTTACACCTATGAGTGAGGTCTCAGGACAGTTCAGTAAATACCAATCCGTCCAATATACGACACCGATAGCCTCTGTGAGGTATTGTGAGGGAGAGCAAGGGAAAGTTGAGGATAAAAGACCCAGTGGGCACTCTCTTGCGACACACTTTAGTATTAAAGATTGCTCTCATTAAACATCGAACTACATGGTGAAGCATCGCAAAGAGCTACGGTGGTACAAGAAGCGACTGAGGCATGACCACGACCACGACCACTCTATTAAATGCACGAAAAGGAACAAAAATGTATCTCTTTCTCTTTATTTCCAGCGTTGGTTCAGGATAAACTTCAAACGTATCTCAAGCTAAATTATAATTTGAAAAAGACTGGTAATTTAAGGTAACTCAACTCAACATCACCATCATCAACAGCCTTTACTAGTCCACTGCTGGACATAGGCCTCTCCTTAGAAAGGAGGTTTTGGCCTACTATACCACGCTGGCCAGACGGGTTGCAGTGTTGTTGATTCTCTTTGCAGTTTTGTTGTTGACATCAAAACAAAAAAGAAATTTAAACCGTTGTCCTTAAAGACGAGAGATGACGTCTAAACCGCAATGTTTTGCGTCACATTATTGATAACAATAAAACCGGACGTGGTACAACAACACTTATAAAGTAGGACGGTTAATTTAATATGTTTAAATAGCTCTCATTGACGTTAAGGCGTTCACCTGCGTCAAGTAACCAGCTGACGTCTCTCAAAATAAATATTTTTTCTCCATTTTTTCAACATTCTTTATTGATGCTTGGCTCCTATCGGTCATAGCGTGATGTAATTATAGACTTGTAGCCTCCCTCGATAATAATACTATTTAATTCGAACCGGTAGTTCCTGAGATTAGAGAAAAGTGCATAAAGTTTTTTTTTCTGTAATATATGTCCTTTTAATTTATAAGGTTAGGTTAGGTATGCGGCTGGCCATAACAGAAATATCGAAACCATTTTGCAATGAAATGAAAGACTGCGTGAAAGAAATTGTCCAGTGATAGAGGAGAACGGAAAAACAAAATTGATTGCACCCTAAATAAGTATGGGTCAAGGGTTAAAAGATGATGAGGATAATAGCCCTTTAAACCATGAACTTCTTGTACTTATGAGCTTATTTAACACAACAAGTAGGAACAGCAAATGACACTCACTAATTTTTTTTTCTCAAATTTCTTCAATTGTAACGAGCAGAACAGTCAAAACTATGACATCAAATAAAGCACAAACAAGTAAAATACAATGACAATAAAAAATTTCCTGTGTGGAGTTTTAGGAAAAAAATTGTATGGTGGAACGGGTATCATATCCCTCCAACACAAACAGAGGATCCTCCGACCAGGCGAGGTGCTCATGCCTGGCGGGCCGAAGCAAAAGGCCGGGTTAATGTTGGGAAGTTGTATACATGCCAATCGGTGAGAGATTTATTCATATCGCGATACAGTATTAGCAATTCTTATTAAGGAGTTACTCCGTACTTCGTTGTATCTTCGTTAGATGGCGCTGTAGTATGTTTCTATTTCTTGGAACCTTTTTAATGTAATTATGATTTATTTTCATTTCAAATTTAAAGGTCGCAATGGATCTAGAATCGCGATCATGTATAAATACAACACAAATTAGAATTACAAAATAAAAGACCTAAGTATTGTACAATAAAGGTTGACTGGAAGATAATGCCTGTGGCATTAAGTCCGACGTCCGTCAATTAAGTGTAATTTGCGCATAAAGAATAAAAATAAATAAACATAAAAAAGGGCTATCGATTGGAGGATACAAACCATGTTTAATGACAAGAAATTTTGTTATTTATGAATTTACATCTTTTTATCAGTAAGTTTGAAATGAAGTATGTAGTTTTGAGAAGTATATATTAATATCTATATTTGTCTATGGTAGGACATGGACTGTAATATGAGAAAATTGGAAATAATTAAAGTTGCTTGGCAAATAGAGTTTCTTCCCCTAAATAGACAGATCTTGTTACAATGTTGACCCCATCTTGATATTGCTTTAATGTTTTGTTGCATGTTGCTTATATCGGGTGTACAAATAAATGGAATAGTTATTAAAATCGCTGAAAGGACGGAACTCTAGTACTGAAGTACAAAAACAAATAAGCCAAACTATTTCTTTAACGGTGACGGTGACGGACTAAGAATGCGGAATGTCACCACTCCTGTTCATCCCGTGAACTGCAAAGGACAACAGCACTGCAAAATGAAGGAAAACTTGAAACAAACCCTATACCAAACCCGTCTCGCCAGCGTGGTATAGTAGGCCAAAACATCCTTTCTAAGGAGAGGTTTATGTCCAGCAGTGGACTATTATAGCCTGTTGATGATGATGTTTTCTTTAAAAGATATGGCCGTTTAATTTTGAGATATTATCAGCCCCAGATATTGCGCCGATTCTCATAAAAGCAGAGGGAATGTTGCGTTAAAGATTTTTAATCGAACATTATGCAAAAAATTATCCTGTCCTTTTTAAATTGGTTTTTATGGATTTACTTATTAATGGATGGATTGCCTCTATTATACGAAAAAGAGCTTAGTGTGAAAAAGTGATAATTAATATCTGAAAATTGAAACAGTCATAACCTTTAAACGGATAGTATTGTTTAATCCTTTTTAAAATTGAATGCCAAATACAACAATCATAAGTCATTAAAGGCTAGTGTTCATTTTACTTTTTTAAACCAATATTTAAGAAAATAGTTTTTATAACATAGTTTTTACTATACTCGTACTTAAGGGATCTGCATAATGTGGTTCGAATGTAACTGAATATCTTATCAGTGTCACTTCATAAAATTCGCGATGTTTATGTCAGTTTATTCAAAGCGTTACCGCGAATCAAATATAACAGGAATTGATGACTGGATATTCTCATTAATTTTTTATTAAAAACTAACAATATGCGATCAATCACGACACACTCCGACACGCACCGTTGCGACCTTATTATTTACAAAACAGTAAAAAATTGTACACTTTTTCACAAAAAAACGTAATTTCGTAAATCTGCTGTGAAAAAAATCTCTAAATCATTTTATAAAAAGCCATTGTGTTTTTAAAACCCTTGCTTTTTTGAAAAGAGACATGCGCGGGCCACGCTTTTTACGAAAAAAAAACCTTTAAATCGGTAAAGTACACCCAATGACCTACATACACTTTTCCCCATTTCGAGTAAAAAGACCCCTTTATTACCAGTTTTTTTAATAATTGCATTCAATCCTTTGGAAAAAAGGGTTGGATAAATTCTCTATAATTTAGTTTTTTGACTAGTTTTCGTTTGCGCCAAAAATTATGCGCGCTGTCAAAATTTCGCGCCATTACGCTTGGACATCTGCCGAGAAAAAAAGTTAACAATGCAAATAGGGGATGTTCGACATTTTTAGGGGGATTTCGTCGTTTTCCTGCTCAAAATGGAGAAATGCATTTAAAGTATAACGGAACGATGTCCCCTCATTTCAATATTAATGTCCGAGTATTTTATTGACAGTAGAATGATCAATAATTTGATTGTCGTAAGATCGAAATTCGCGTAAAAACTTTTTTGTTGTTTTGCATTTTATGGATTTAGATTTTTATTATTTATGGTTCTTACACAAAGATTTAATGTGAAATCGTATTATTATTCAATTCCTTTTATAGATTTACTATTAAATCTACCATCAGACGATATTTCGAGTCCTGTTTTCGAGTTTTAATTTATTGCCTTATTAAAAGACTTGTTTTGTGTAAAACCGTTTTTATTTTTAATTAAATTGTAAAAGTATATAACAAAACGAGAAATAAAGTAAATTCTTAACTACCTGCAAGACCCGCAAGTTTTTATTGACACCTTAAGAGTCCACTGTTTCTATAAAAAAGTTTTTAATACCTTGTGCTTTTTCAAAGAGTCAAAGAGAGCATATGCTTGACATTGACTTGCCTTCCTCAGAGCCTTTTTCCCAAACAAGGTTGGGTCATCTTTATATCGACTACGATACTGCTGAAATTCGATTTTTACGCAGAGTGACTCCTATCAGACCTCCAGAACCCAAGTACTAGGCGATTTCGAAGTTCAGACTTTTTAGTGCTAACTGACTAGACCCGTAAAGAATACCACAGATGTTTGTATGGCAACCATAGTATGACAGTGACCATAGTTTAGAAAATGATTGTATAGAATACCGGATGGCTCATTACTGCCGTCAGTTCCATGGTCAGCACGATTATGATTGCATAAGACAGCTTGAACTATTTTAGAATTTATTATATTAAATAGATTTTCTAATTAAAAAAAAAAGGGATGTTCGGCTTTACTTTGATAGCTATCAGACCCCAGGTCGCTTACATCCATGATAAAGGACCCTTTCAGGTCCGACATATGTATGCAAGTAAGTAAAAAAACAATACACCTTTAATTCAACCTCATTTCAATAGAAATCAGAGCAGACTAAAGGTTTCATTAAAAACTGATTTTATAACATTTAAAAATTGAAACTGAATCAACTGCTTTCCAGTTTCTTGTCTCCGTGCCCCTTCAGGAGTCATAGTACATGTAGTCCAGTAGAATCGTCACCGACATTAACAACGCTTTTTCTTCTACAGTTAGGTTCTGTTCAAATGCGACCCCAAACCTGGAAAATTATAAAACCATAATTTAACGAGTTATTTATTTGGAAGTCCTGATTCCAACCCTACTTTTTGGTGACGGGGTGGAAAATCTCTGGCTCCTTGGGGATACAGGAGCCAGGTGTATGTGGGGTTTCCACTAAAACAACCCCGACGGCCGGCCTTAGGCTACCTATTCTGGGGAGGACCCAGATCATGTGAATCGAAATCGCAACTAACTAGGCCCTATCCCAAGCCAGAGGCTTCTCCCTGCCTATCAGCCTATTACTAAATGTTGCTATCATCACATTTTTAGTGCGATCAGGTCGCCATCCTATCACCTACCGCAGTAATTATTTAATCTGTCATCAGAAGTCCTCACGTCGATGGCTCATAACGCCGCCGACGTCTTCTTCGCTCGAAACCTCCCGATCCCGTGATTCCAACTCTACCAGGAACTATAATATGTTACAGCAAGACATGTCCTTGTTGGTGTGTGTCTGTGTAAACGTGTGTGTATGTGTATTGATAAAAGCCTCTTTGCAAAGACTCTGCCTCAGAAGGAATAAGAAGAGAGCTTTTCTTTATGACACGGGGGAAAATGAGGTCTTTTCTTGAAGGTTGAAAGGTCGTATCGCGCCGGATGCCAGTCGTTGCCTCTCATAGGTGACCTATCTACTCTTGTAGTTTGTCTACTAAATCAGAAAGAAAAAGTAAGGTGTAGTCCAAACCTGTCACTAACTGGTGCAAAAAATAGTGCATGCGTCAAGCCCTGCCAGCGCTTGCATGTGGCGCCGACGTGTTCTCCATCTGTCCTTTGGATCTGGAACTGAACGTCCTTGAAGCAAGTCAACGTATTAACTGGACCTGAAAGACAAAGAGGAGTTTAAGAAACTCAGTGTTTTTTTTCCAAATAATATTTTGACATTGTTATGTAAAAAATACGAGAGAATATAAAAGATTATGGTTATAGTTGAGGAGGATTATGGCATGAACTGAACATGTTAGGATAATTCATGCCTAATTAAGTGAATTCCTACCCTGTTCTGACTTCATCATAACATCAGCGCTATACGGGACCGGTATTTGTAATCTTTGTATGGAACTTACCACGAATCCAAAACAAAGAATCACCCCTTTCGTTTAACACCAGATACAAAGGCCTCAGAGCCGTCCATTGCTGCTGCACAGTTCCTATAAGGTGTCCTGGGGGAGAAAATATCTCAAGGGTCTGCAATTGGCAGGGCAGAACCCGGGACGTGAAGGCGAAAGGTCTGTTTATCGTCATGACTTCCATGCCATGGCAATTTCTGACGCGGAGCTGGAGCGGACGCAGACCATAGCAAAGGTAGCCAACCCACCAACTGTTTTAGAAACAAATATATTATTTATATATTATTATATTTCGCCATCACGGCATGTTTTATTTTTAATTTTATCACACTAGAATTATCCGTGTGGTGACGGATTAAGAATACGGAGTATCACCACCCCTATCCATCCCGTGGGTGTCGTAAGAGCCAACTAACAACGTAGACTCTCCTCTCTTACTTTAAAAGGGATATGCGTATAAAACACCTACAGCTTATAAACTTTAGTTAAGTCGCACTTACTTCACAGGGGAAGAAAGCATATTGGTTTTAAGGTACTAGCTTAAAACCAATATGCTTTAAGAATTAAACACAACAAACAAAACAGCATTGAATGGAAATGGAAAAAGGAAAGGAAAGGGGAAATTCTTTCGTTGCCTTTCACTGAGCGAGTGAGGTTACCGGAGCCCAAATCCCGTTGACTCGAGCGGGAGGGACTCCAAGGGCAGCACGCACTTGTGACTTTTGAGGTGTCCATGGCCGGCGGTAGTTGCTTACCATCAGGTGATCCATCTGCTCGTTTGACCCCTTATACCATAAAAAAAAGGAAAGGGCTATTCCTTAAGCATATATATTCTGAACTGAGAGCTGCTTGAAGAGTGCCCATTGGGATTTTATGGGGTTAATTATGAGTGGCTTATTGGTTTCTTACTTATTCTCTTCTTCTATGGTATAAATAAGATTTTGATCTGAAGTTCTAACGAAGAATCTGTTCTTCTTGCCGCGCATGCAGAGCACGTTCTTGACGGGGAGTCGCTTCGTGATCAGCAGCCGGTCTACCGTCGTCAGTTCGTTCAACAGAGGTGGTTCTACGAACTCCTAGAAGTACAAGACACTTGTATTCAAATAACCTACAACCTTATAATTATGGTAAGAATTGCATTTGATACCAGAATACAGCGTCTCACACCGACGCGGAATACCTCTTGTAAAAGGTCTACTTTTCTAGTCTACTGGTCGACCATCCTCCCGAAATGAACACGTGCGATCCTTTATAAGTATAAATACGCCTCACAATTTTTTTATGACAATTTACAAATTTACTTTTTATATGTAAAATAAACTGAAGGAACGTAAAATACTGATATTGCTTTTAAAATAATAACAAAAACTGCACACAATTAAGCGGCCCCTGGTCCTAAACTAGGCAGAGCCTGTACTATGGTAACCAGGCTGCTTATAAGTGATAAACATTTTTATATATTTCTCAATACAGAACAAATAATCGTACTCATCACACTGTATTTGTCTTCATCAAATCCATGAGGAAGTTGCAAATATTGGTCGAAAATATACGAGGAAGGTTGTAATCCATTTAATTTTCTAATAGAGGAATAGGTTTTCCTTGTAAAGTTATAATAGCCAGGATTTATTTGATTATAATAATAATGTTCCTACGTGTATGTATTTGAACTGTCACTAGGGACCTTTTTTTTTGGACTTTATTCTGCACTTGCAGTAACTTTTAGTTAATTACAATGAAGAGATGGTTCACCTGGGCCCCAATCCTGCTATTTTAATATTGTATCAATAGACTGTCGATGGGAGAGGCCTATGTCCAGCAGTGGACTGCGATAGGCTGATGATGATGACTGTCGATGGAATATCGTCGGAATAGTGTCCACTTTTCGTATTCTACTAACTATGTGAGATAAATGGCCGATTTCTTGTCACTGAAGCTACTGATACAAATTTTAGTTTTTGTAATAGTTTGGTAAACGATACATTTTAAATTTGTAAGGAAATGATATATTTATTTTGCCAGATTTGGCAATGTTGTTGATGTCACCATTGATGAGTCAATGTCACTACATCGACAGTCTACTAACACTGTGTGTTTATAAAAACTTTGGATTTATTTTTCAAACGAGATTTATAAAACAAAAATTCATGTTGTTTTAAACTGAATTGTTTGTTTACAATATCGCAATATGACTGCATGTGCGGATATTTTGGTCTGGATTTGAAATTGACTCATTTGAGATAAAAAGACAAACGAGGCAGTCAAAAATATATGTATATATATATATAGAAATAAACTATATATGTAAACTTTAGGATAGACAGCAGTAAATTTTAGTAACTCCATTTAATTTGGCGTCATTTAACTAATAGATTGCCAAACCAAATTGTATTGAGCACAAATATTAATTAATTTAAATGTAAACTTATTGACTTTTTGAATAATACAACATATTATTCCATAAACGAATGTTTCAATTACCATTTTTAATACTTTTGACATTAATTGATTATTTTTCCTATAAATTTTAAGTATCTTTTATTATTATTATTATAAATAATAATAATAATAAAAGATACTTAAAATGTATGTATGTATGTATGTGTGTGTATGTGGTAGAATATATTATTATTATTATTTAATTTGGTCCGTGTAGTGACGGATTAAGAATACGGAATGTCACTACCCCAATTCATCCCGTGGGTGTCGTAAGAGCCGACTAAGGGCGCAAAACAACGCAGGACATTAGCACTGCAAAAAGAAGAAAAACTTGACACAAACCCATACCAACCCGTCTGGCCAGCCTGATATAGTAAACCAAAACCTCCTTTCTAAGGAGAGGCCTATGTCTAGCAGTGGACTATTAAAGGCTGTTGATAATGATGATGATTTATGATGATTTCATTTGACCTGAACTTTTTGATGACTCTAAATTATATATACTTATATGAATTAATGACTTTGTTTATGTAAAATAATGATTCTTCGTTTGAATAATTATGTACTCTTAGAATATTTAAATATGGCGGGGCATAGCTTGTACATAATAAAACTCATCTGTAACCACCTATATATCACAAAATGAAATAAATAAATTGAAATAACTGCTATAATAACTACAACATACAAAGTATAACGTGAGGTAGGTATATACCTAATAAGAAACTGTAATTGCGGTGTTTGTGTGTCAACAAAAGCGTACCTACTATTAAAACAAACCACCTTACAAATCAACAACAAAATATTATTGTACGTGCGTTATATTTATATGCACAAAACAATTGAGTACAATGCAAATTATTATTCTTGTAATTTAGGGCATATGTCCTGGGCGTTTTAAAGCTACAGGTAAATTAGCTTGGAGAAATTTTTGCGTTTGTAGTAGTGTATGGTTGTGCGTGTTTCCACTTTCCACTATCAAGTGACGATTTTTTGCTTTAGATTGAAATATCTCGGAAACGGTGCGTCCTAGGACAAAAATAGCAAAAATTTTGACCCCCCCTAGACCCCCGGAGTTTTAAAAACCTAGATGAAAGGCAAAAAAAAAAAAAAAAATTAATATCGGTCTCTTTGAAGTTTCACTTCTATCGTGTGTGAATCGCACACACACCTTTTTTTTTTATAAAGTCAAAACCTTTTTCTTTAAAATAAAAACTTGTTTTTATTGAAAACAAAAATCAGAGTGTTGCTAGGGATAAGTATAAAATTAAATAGTAATGTTAGGATATCGAAACATTTTTGTATAGGCCAGAACGATATAGTGGAAACGCGCTCTAAGATCTGAGTAATATACACACCACTACATATGCAAAAATTTCTCGAGACTAATTTCACTGTACAGTGTCATGCCCACCCGCCAACATTAACTCACATAAATATGTGTCTTTTAATAAATATACAATCTTTACTGTCTTGATAAAATCTACATTCAGGCCATCAACTTCGCAGACAAAGTTTAATACAATTTACCTGCTGCAAAGAGTCAACCACAGTAGGTTCGATCTTCACGGAGGGTATAACTTTAACTTCCTCCGGGATCGTGAGGGACGGGATCTTGGGAATTGGTGCGGCAATCATCATGTATGCTTCCCAAGGGTACTGCTTCAGAATATGCACTTACAGAAGCATCAAGACCGACATGTTAGAAAAATGTTTGACGGAAACCGTCTTGAGAATAGACAGTTAAAAAAATTGTAGCAAAGAGTTTTTGACAGATTTTTTTGTGCTTTATTGGATCTGTTACCTCCTTTGTGAGGAACTATCCTGCTAGCTTGTTTCTTTACTACATATTAGGGAGCGTAGTCATACTACGTGACCCGTTTAGGAGTCTTCAAAATACCCTGCTTGGGCACGGGGCAGCTTTACATAGTCAATATTCTCTAGAGAAATATGGTGCTTCTTAGAGCTATGAGTATATTTAAATATGGCAAGCCTTCTATTAATAAAGACAATACGAGTCTTTTTCAACTTTCTCTTAGCAAGAAATGATCTTAAACCTCATTTATAAATTATTACACGTGAAATTTTGAGGGGGAAATAAGAGGGGTCTTCTGCGTGTGGTCACCGAGGGGTACGGCAGTTCTCTTAAAGATTGCCTGGCGGTAGAATTTCGACTGTTTTGATAACTTGATCCATCTTTGTTTAGATAGATCATGTACCATGACGTATTAAAATTTATTTTGTACTTTAGAACAATTTACACATTTACATAAGTATGTATGTTTATGGTTCTTTGTTAATATAATTTCATTCCGTGTGCATATATGTTTGAAAAGGAGTAAAAACAACAACTCGATCACACAAAGTATTGTCTAGTAGCTCAGTAGAAAATAGGCAAGGTGACCACTTAAAAAACTGCGCCATCAGTGCAGCCAAAACAATTGTGCCAGCTTTCTCAAAGGCTGGCAATGCGCTTGTGACTCCTGAGCAGGCGTTCATGGGCGGCGGTAGTCGCTTTCTATCAGGTGACCCGTCTTTTCGTTTGCCAGCTATTCCATAAAAAATAACTAATGGCAAAAACACAACAAACTGTTGTCTGATAACAAACTAGGTAGAGCGTGTGCTATGGTAAACAGACTGCTGATAAACACACTTAAATATCACTTAAATACATATTATAGATAAACTACACCCAGGCTCAGTACAAAGTAATGATCGTACTCATCATTACAATTATTTGTCCTGAATGGGACTCGAACTTACGATCTCCGGCTTAGCAATCAGGGTCACTATTCACTAGACCAACCGGCCCGAAATCTATGAATAGGGTTGTTTCTGCTCCACCTTTAGCATAAATCTGATGTGATGTCTCATGATTAAGATGAACTAATAAAATGTGTAAGTACCTAGGTAAATATCAGAAGGAAAGAACCTTCATCAACAGCCTTTAACAGTCCACTGCTGGACATAGGCCTCTCCTTAGAAAGGAGGTTTCGGCCTACTATACCACGCTGGCCAGACGGGTTGGTATAGGGTTTGTGTCGAGTTTTCCTTCTCTCTGCAGGGCTGTTGTTCTGCGTAGCTTTCTCCCTTAGTCGGCTCTTACGACACCCACGGGGAGAATAGAAGTGGTGACACTCTGTATTCTTAATCCGTCACCAAGTAGGTAAGTACCAGAAGGAAAGAACTTAACAAGTACAATATTGAAACTACTTTCAGTGAAATCCTGGAATTGAAAAAACTTCTTATTTTTTCATTTTTGTTATAAAACTTTAATAAAAGCCAACTCTCCCTAAAATTTGTACAATGTATTTTATTGATTGCCGTGAAATAAAAGTGCATTAACGTGATACTTCATGCAAATGTCGGAATTATTATTGCGAATGGGGGAATTCATTTAAATTTTTGGTAAAAAAAAAACTAGGAAACTGTATCGCTTTTATCAATCGCTTGCAACAATATATGCTTAGTTACAATGGTATGTAGGGTGAGTATTTGTTGCTATCTGGGTCTTAGGATATTCCATCTTCAATTTACGAAGAAAAATTATCTTTCATTTTTAGTTAAAGAATTGGTATTTTCCAATATTGTGATCTGTCGTGATCCCATACATCAGGTCTACCTACCTTGTTTATGAATTGGAAATGTGGCAATTTGTATAACAACTGTACAACTGTATTGATGTCTCATTTTTGTGGTATTGTTTGCTGTTTTTATGGGACGATGTAGTCACTCAGCGACAAAGTCCTTTTAATAATAAAAGAAAAGAAAAACTGTATCTATCCATCTAATACCTTTAAACGAGCAATTCTTGTATATATATAATCTGAATCTCGGAAACGGCTCCAACGATTGCCATGAAATTTAGTATGAAGGGGGTTTCGAGGGCGATTAATCGACCTAGATAGGTTTCATTTAAAAAAAATTACCAATAAAAAAAAAAAAACTTGTATTGCATCTATTATGTACAAATAAATATAATTTTATTGGTATGCATGTGTAATAAAATATCTACTATTAAGTAGTCATTTTAACAGAAATGTAAGTAAAAAGTCTCCATTTTCTTGCATAGTGTGGTAACGCTATATTTTAATGGGAATTGCGCACGCGCCGGACTCTGCTAACATTTTATGCAAAAACGCAAATTTCGTTCGAAATTTGAAACGCTCCATTGTATTGCCAGCTTGAATGAATAAAAATAATTGTTGCCAACTTTAGTATTTGGGGGAAATGCGTTTTGCGCAGGTCTAAGCCATTGTGCTCGCAGGAGTGTGCCGAATACAATTAACGACAGTTTTTATGCAAGCGACATTTTGAATTAATAAGGATTTTTGCATGGTCAAACTGAGTATTGATTATTTTGAGAGTTCGGAAATTAGGGCAGTTTTACAATACACTTGGTATTTTATGTAGCTTGTAGACAGATTTTTAATTTACGTATAGCATAACATAATACTGTAATTTATTTTTAAAAAAATTCTCACGGTCGATGTTCATCCTTTGTTTAATCTAGGCTTAAAAAAAACAGAAATGATCTTTGATGCCGATTAGGAATAACTTGTAAAAAGGTATACCTCCATAAACTATATATTCTTTTACTAAAATATTTTTAATTTACCCATGCTTTTACCATATCACCCATAAAAAAGGATAAAAATCATAAAATCATAACATGCCTGTTGGTCTAGTGGTTAGTGACCCTGACTGCTAAGCCGGAGGTCGTGGATTCGATTCCCACCCAGGACAAATAATTCTGTGTCTGGGTGTAATTTATCTATAATATGTATGTATTTAGAAATATATAAGTACGTTTATCAGCAGTATGGTTACCATAGCACAGGCTCTGCCTAGTTTTTAAACAGACGATCGTGTGTGAGGTGTGAGATGTGTGAGGTTATTATATTGTTATTATAAAAAAAAAAATTCTATAATAACTTTCTACAGAAAACCAAACTAAAAAATAGAAAAAAAATAAGAAAAAAAGCATTGGGTGCTTGTTGTCAATAGTAAAAAGCACCCCACCCCAGTTTTTTAAAACTATTTTTTTTTTAATTAGTGTATTGTCATCGGTCCACGATATATCTACAAAGTTTGAACGAATTCTGACCGTTTAAAGTCAGTCAAAATCACGCCCAAAGGAGTCGGTTACAAACATACAAAGAAACATACAAGTGAAGCTAATATAAAGCGTGTAAAAACAGGGATAAGCAATTGAATAGTGCTGTGCAGAAACGATTGAATCAAAAAACTTGTTAAATTAACAATACCAATTAAATGTGTTCTCATGTAAGTGAATGTGTAATTCTTTATGAGTACAGTTTCTTAAACCATAATTAAACATTCAAAATTATCTGTATTCGTATTATGATAAAAAACTATTTAAATTTCCGCCCACGATAGTTAAAAAGGCGCTACAAGAAGTAAAGGTGTTACAAGAAGTCAAAATGGAGAAAAAATATTTTAATAAATTTAATGCGAATTCGTTCGTCGATTTTATTTAAAGTGCAATGAGTTTTATTTTATTTATACTTACGTACACAATATAAACATTAATAAAAAATATATATTAAGGAATAGTGGGCACGAACTTAACCCTTGAGTTCTCTTCCAGCAAACCTAAGAGAGAAAAGAGGATAGCACAACAAGAGAGAGTCGTGTGTACAGAGTAAATTAAAAAAAAAAAGTTTTCTTCTTCCATTCTCTTCTATCACTCGGCATTCTCTTTCACGCTGTTCTTTATTATCATAGCTCATAGCTTTTTAGTTGCGAATGTCATCCTTTTTCATACGTAAACCGTAATTTTATAAACCACGTGCTCGGGTCAAATTTGAAGTAAAGTTTTGAATAATAGACTATCAAGGCAGTACTCATTATAATACCATCCCAACAATAATAATAACCTCACACATCTCATACGCGGCCGTCTGATCCCAAACTAAGCAGAGCCTGTACTATGGTAAACGGTAACCAGACTATTACACACATAAATAAGTAGATTTATAAATCATCAATCATCATAATCATCATCACACAGCCTTTAATAGTCCACTGCTGGACATAGGCCTCTCCTTAGAAAGGAAGTTTTGGCCTACTATACCACGCTGGCCAGACGGGTTGGTATAGGGTTTATGTCAAGTTTTCCTTCTCTTTGCAGTGCTGTTGTCCTGCGTAGTTTGCTCCCTTAATCGGCTCTTACGACACCCACGGGATGAATAGGGGTGGCGACACTCCGTATTCTTAATCCGTCACTACACGGACAAGATTTATAAATACATACATATTATAGATAAATTACACCCAGAAATAGAATCAATCGTCATGATGGTAGAATAATGTGTGTTTTGAAAATAATACGAAATTCAGTTTTTACCATATTTGGATACTACATTGTCTAAATATTATTACTACATTCAAGAAAAAAATATATGTATTTTAGATTTCAAATTATTCACTGTTTGTTTGATAGGCGCTCAAAGTAAAATGAAGCATGTGTTTTTTCTAGAAAATTGTAAAATTATTAGTTGTTATTTTTATTGCGTTTTAATACAAACCCTATGTTTCACTTGTATGCCAATTTTCATAATTACAGATTTAGAATTTAAAAAAGTTATGTAAACATATAAAATCTATATAGGTAT